TCTTAGTGAATGATTCGAATTCATGGCTTGAGAATTGTGGACAACCATCAGATACAATCATTCTAGGAATATCATATCGAGCAAAATGTTTCTTGAGCGGACCAATAACGCGAGAGCTTGTTAGAGTTGTGAGTAGGTCTATTTCTATAAATGTAGAATAGTAATCAACAGTTACAAGATAATACTTGTCTGCGATTTGAAAAATGTCAAGTCCAATTTTCTGCCATGGTTCATCACCATCTTTGTGTTGCTTCAGAGGTTCTCGTAGATTCTTTGGTTTCATCTCTTGGCAGCTTTCACAAGTTTCAGACATTTTTCTAATGTCACTAGCCATGCCGGGCCAGAATACMGTGCCTCTTGCCCGTCGAAGCATGCTTTCAGTGCCAAGGTGAGAGCTGTGTAGTCTGTTCTTTATGTCGGGTCTAAGTAATTGAGGGATTACGACTSCTTCACCTTTAAGTAGAATGCCATTCGCCACGGTCAGTGAGTCACGAATGTCAAAATAGGGTAGTSCTAAAGAGTTGATAGTGCTCTTTTCATCAGGCCACCCTTCCATTACCAGTTTCATTGTAGCTTGTAGACTGTTATCTTTAGTTGTKGCTGTCTGTATTTCCACAAGAYGARCATCGGGGATGCCACCAAATATKTTCACATTCATTATTCGTGCACGGTTATCTTGGTTGTTGTCATCAGAGTCTAGGTGAGCTCTGCTTAACGTATCAGCTATCCTTTCACGAACACGAAATTGACGTCATAACGATTATAACGCATCATTAAGTCTTGAAGTCGTTTTGGAGCAGTGCTTAGAGGCTTGCGAAGAATTGAGGATAGAGGTTTGTGATCATTCTCTACGGTGACGGTTCGGCCATATGTGTATTGATCAAATCGTTCCAAGCCATACAGTACAGCCAAGGATTCCTTTTCAATTTAGGCCCAGTTCCTCTCAGATGGGGTCAATGCGCGTGATTCATATTCAATGGGACGGCCATCTTGTAGTAGAACTGCGCCTATGCCATGTTGACTGCTGTCGACTTGAATAACAACTTCTTTCGCTGGATCAAAGTAGGCTAAACATGCAGCGTCAGAGAGTTTGTGTTTCAGTGTATCAAATGCATCTTCACATTCTTTGGACCACATGAATGGGACATTCCTTCTGGTTAAGTTTCGCAAGGGTTCTAGTGAACTTGCCAGATCGGGTATGAATCTAGACACATATTGCGCCATACCACAYAGACGTCTTATACCTTCTACATCAGTGGGAGCAGGCATATCGAGAATAGCTTTGACCTTGTTTTTGTCAACTTCCACACCACTGCTTGTGATTTTGTGTCCATGAAATATTATTTCCTTAAGTCCAGTTTCCTGTTTGTCTTCATTCAGAATAATGTTCCTTTGTTTACAACGTTCGAGACATGAAGAGAGATTCCGCTGGTTGTCTTGAAGTGCGTCAGACTCAGTAGCGCCACAACCAANTCGATGTCGTCATCATCTCCTTCAGTCGTTTTTTCTTCATCTCCAATTTTCTTCTCTCTGCACTGTACAGTCATTGAGCATTGGTGTTTCTTGGGGAGTTAGTTTCACTTGAACTGTTGATAGATTAAAATTGTTAAAAAATCACTTTGGGTTTCAAATCACTATCAGCAACGTATTATTGCCATCATATCTATCACACTGCAAACAATTACCCACGCCACTACTGATGAAAGCGCCAACAGTAAACTATCAATATGAAACATTCTTTGATACATGTAGGTTGTCAGCAATGTCATTCTTTGCTACAGGGGGTGTCTTGGTAGGTGTCTTAAGTGGTGACTTTAATGCATTGTCATTGGACTGATGAGAGATATGAATTGGAGAGGTATCACGAATCTTGTGATTTGCTTTAGTAGGTCGCATGTGTACTCGATTGCGTCGGTAGGTGCTTCCATCAGGACCTTTGACTTCATAGGTGTTAGAACCTAGTATGTTAGAAACTTCTCCACATTTCCAATTTCGTCCKTCAAGATGTTGAAAGAATATGGACTGTCCAGTTCAGAGAGATTTTTAGACTTMTTGTCATAGTGTTTCTTAATACTGTCTTTGCGAGCTTGTCGCTTTGCTTCAATAGAGTCACTGTTTGTGTCCTTGTTAAGAGTAGGTATAAAGGAGCGTGTTTTCCGATTAAACATCATTTCAGCAGGGCTAAGACCAGTGTCCTGTCGAGGAGTGTTACGATGTTCCAGTAGGGCTTCATATGGATCACTTCCTTCTTTACGAGTCTTGAGCAATGTTTTCATAGATTTTACTGCGGCTTCAGCTTTCCCATTGGCTTGCTGSTGCATTGGAGATGACGTCACATGAATGATATTCCATGTCTTAGTGAATGATTCGAATTCATGGCTTGAGAATTGTGGACCACCATCAGATACAATCATTCTAGGAATATCATATCGAGCAAAATGTTTCTTGAGCGGACCAATAACGCGAGAGCTTGTTAGAGTTGTGAGGTCTACTTCTATAAATGTAGAATAGTAATCAACAGTTACAAGATAATACTTGTCTGCGATTTGAAAAATGTCAAGTCCAATTTTCTGCCATGGTTCATCACCATCTTTGTGTTGCTTCAGAGGTTCTCGTAGATTCTTTGGTTTCATCTCTTGGCAGCTTTCACAAGTTTCAGACATTTTTCTAATGTCACTAGCCATGCCGGGCCAGAATACAGTGCCTCTTGCCCGTCGAAGCATGCTTTCAGTGCCAAGGTGAGAGCTGTGTAGTCT